TGGGGGACGGACAACAGAAAGGTGGGTGAAGGGAGACGTCGGACAGGGCAAGATATGACAAAATAAAAATTGTAGACTGTCGAGGGCTTATGAGGGAGGGGGGAGCGGGGAGGGAGGTGAAAGGTGAGGACCTAATGCTGGGGATTTAAGTGGAGAGAAAATGTTTTGAGAATGATGGGGGCAATGAATGTGCAGGTGCGCTTTACACAGTTGATATGTGTATGGATTGTGATGAGAGTTGTATGAACCCCTAGTGAAATGATTTAAAAAAAAAAAGAAAAGAAAAAAGATCAATAAAAAAGGTTCAATAAGAAAAAAATATATATATATTTTTTGTCTCAAAAACCTACAGGAGCTGCGTTCTCCTCTGTCCCATCGGGCCCGATGGGTATGAATTGATTTGATAACTCCGTGGGGGAGTGAGTGAGACACACTGATGACAAGGAAGCATGATGGTGTAGCATGCGGCTCTGAGTTTAGGGATAAGGAAAGAGTGCTAGGTTAATAAAGTGTGCTCATAAGGTTTATAGTGGGTTTGTGATCATACCATATGCAGGTAGCCTTGCCCAGAATTGAGGGCATGATCATCTCAGAAGGGGAAAATAAGAAAGACCCAAATAATCCTTGACAACCTGTTGGGTCATCAGGAACTGAGCCCATATAAACTTAACAATCTAGAGTTTAAAATGCTTCTGTTTCATTTTGCATTTTTGGCTGTGATGGGCTACTAGCCACCAAGGTTGGCCGTTCAAACCTGCCAGCTGTGCCTCGGGAGAAAGATGAAGCTGTCTGCTCCCCTAAAGATTCTAGGTCTGGGATGCTGTGAGTTAGAATTCACTCAGTGACAGTAGGTTGGGTTTGGGATGTTGTTTGGTAGAGGCTAAATTCCAGGTTGGAGAGAAGCCATTGAATGATAACAGCATAAATAGAAAAATTCTCTATCTCATTTTCCCCTCACTTCCCCAAGAACATGGAATGGAATCTATTTAAAAGCATACAATGGCTTTTTGTTCTTTGATGCCTGATAACTGATCCCTTCGGCACCTCATGGTCACCCCGGCTGGTGTGCTTCTTACATGTGGGCTTTGTTGCTTCTGAGCTAGATGGCTGCTTGCTTACCTTCAAGCCTTTAAGATGCCAGATGCTATATCTTTTGATAGCTGGGCACCATCAGCTTTCTTCTCCACATTTGCTTATTCGCCCGCTTTGTCTTCAGAAGTTGTTTCGGGAAGGTGAGCATCATAGAATGCCAATTTAATAGAAGAAAATATTCTTTAATTGAGGGAGCACTTGAGTAGAGACCCAATGTCCATCTGCTACCTTAATATTAAACCTATAAATATAGGCACATAGATCTAATTCCCCATCCTCATATATAAATATATTTGCATGTGTATATGTAAATGCCCTTTGCCTCCCCGCTCTTTCCTCTATTTCCCTTGACTTTCCTCCTGTCCCACTATAATGCTCAGTCCCCACCAGGGTTTCAGCAATTCCTCTTGGTTACATTACCCTTGATCATGCCCTATCAGGCCTCCCACACCCTTATCATCACCAATTTGGATCACTTGTTGTTCCCTTGTCCCTGGGTTTGTTAACACCACTACCTTCCCACCCTCCTCCCATGTCGTCCCAGAACTGTCGATCCCGTTGTTTTCTCCTCCAGATTGTTCATCCAGCCTATCTTATTTAGACAGAGCTGCGGAGATAATAACATGCACAAAAACAAGACAGAGCCAATCCAAGCAACATTATACAACACAACAACAACAACAACAACAAACCAATGACAAAAAACAAAACACAAGAAAGAAAAGCTTGTGGTTTGTTCAAGGATTGTTTGTTGGCCGTTAGGAGTGTTTTCCAGTCCAGTCTGTTGGGGTACCACACCATGGCCCCAAAGTCCACCTTCAGCATTCCCTGGGGACCTCACAGCTCCATTCCCTTGCTGTTCTGTTGCACCCCCTTAGTGTTTTGCCTCAGTGTGGTGGGATCAGATTGGGCACAATTCCCACACTGTGTCTCTGGTGTTGTCCCCTGTAGGGCTATGGGTGAGTGAGGGGCATCATGTCTCATAGTGGGGCAGGCCATGTGGTCCTCTCTGTGGACTGGCTGCTCTAATCGGGAACATCATCCTCAAAGCCTGGTGGGCCAGGATGTGCTCTGCTCTCTCCTCCTCCCCCTTCATCTGCTTCTGTGTACTCCGATCAGATATGTCCTCTCCAGAGCTGCAGATTCACTGCCTTCCTTTGAAATAAATTCTTCTGTGGGGAGGGGCAGGTGTCCATGTAGTAGTTGGGACTGGGGCCAGCCCCCAAGGCCCCTAATACCTCTGTGCTCACCTCCATGATACTATTGCTGAAGACAAATGCGTGCATAAGCAAATGTGGCAAAGAAAGCTGATGGTGCCCAGCGATCAAAAGATATAGCATCTGGGGTCTTAAAGGCTTGAAGGTAAACAAGGGGCCATCTAGCTCAAAAGCAACAAAGCCCACACGGAAGAAGCACACCAGCCTGTGTGGTCACGAGGTGTCGAAGGGATCAGGTATCAGGCATCATCAGAACCAAAAATCTTACCACAGTGAATGAGGGGGGGAGTGCGGAGTGGAGACCCAAAGCCCATTTGTAGGCCACTAGATATTCTCTTACGGAAGTGTCTCAGAGAGGAGACAAGCCAGTCAGGGTGCGATGTAGCAACGATGAAAAATACAACTTCCTCTAATTCCTAAATGCTTCCTCCACCCCCACTATCATGATCCCAATTCTACCTTGCAAGTCTGGTTAGACCAGAGGATGTACACTGGTACAGATAGGAACTGGAAGCACAGGGAATCCAGGACATATGAACCCCTCAGGACCAGTGGTGTGA